TGTGATTTAGATTTCTTCGAGTCTAAGTGTTTCCTTAGAGTTTACTCTTATCCCTGGTGTGATACTTATGATGAAGAGTTTTTAGCGGAAACTGAAGCCTTTGGTTTCTCAGACTCCGCTTTTGATGATTATTAGGTTTTGTTTGTTTAAACAGTTGTTTTGTTTTGGGGAATGTAACCAGTACGGGTACTTGGTTATTGGTTTTGTTTTATGTTTTATTTTAAGTATCGCTTTGATACTTGGTTAGTTTTAAGTATCGTTTGATACTTGGTTTTGTTTTATGTTTTGTTTTAAGTATCGCTTTGATACTTGGTTAGTTTTAAGTATCGTTTGATACGTGGTTTTGTTTTATGTTTTGTTTTAAGTATCGCTTTGATACTTGGTTAGTTTTAAGTATCGTTTGATACTTGGTTTTGTTTTATGTTTTGTTTTAAGTATCGCTTTGATACTTGGTTAGTTTTAAGTATCGTTTGATACTTGGTTTTGTTTTATGTTTTGTTTTAAGTATCGCTTTGATACTTGGTTAGTTTTAAGTATCGTTTGATACTTGGTTTTGTTTTATGTTTTGTTTTAAGTATCGCTTTGATACTTAAGGAGTTTTACCAAAGTGTATCGATTGATACCTTTGATTAGTTTCGTTCATGTTAAGACATGAACAGATTTGTGTACTTAAAGACCGCCTGTTTCGATGATAGAAAGGGCAGACCTCGACAGACAGTATTTCAATATACTTGGTTGAACGGTTACTTCTTTGTTTCTCAGTACATCCTCGAAGCCTCCTTTAGTTCTCAGCTCTCGCCTCCTCTCCGGAAGAGCAGGCCACCTGCCAACTATCGTATTCCTTACCGATAACGTGATTAGCACCTCGCGAACACGTTACAATATTCCCCCGAGAGAGCATCTCCGCTGAACCCTGAGATTTCTCAGGGTCTAGTCCACCTCCCCCAACTGAGACTACTGTAGTAACCGAAGTGACCGAGGGGACAGGCGAAGAGGGGATAACTGTGAGAACTTCAGCTGCCAGTATCATGAGATAACCGCCATTAATAGTACGTTCATTCTCGAGGGCAGCCGACAAGGCAGATATCTCTTTCCCAGCGCAATGAAATCGCCGAGAAAGGACGGAGATGTAATGCCGAAGGTGAGAGACTTCAACCTCTAGGGCGAAGTTCTTCTCAACAGCACGAGACAGAACTACTGATGAATGTAAAGTGGACATGGCAGAGGGGGCGGAGGCTCGCTTAGCCATTGTGACCGTGAGGAGGTGACCGTAGTAAATAACCGAAAAGATAAGTAGAAGGAAGAAAGGACATCCAGCAAACGTAGAAGGAGGTATAACAATGAAGTCCCCAAAAGGTGTTCAAAGTTAAAGACTTGAAGCCTATCGTGAGATAGAAATCAAGGGCTCTGATTGGATCGTAACTGAACCTTCACTACTGACACGGGGTGAAAGAAGGAGAAAAAGTACCTAGAATAAAGATTGAAGAACCTATCCTCCTTGGCCGCCTTGGCCGCCTTATATAGTATTCTTCCCGCCCATAATCATGTGACCCAAAGTGGTCACATGTACGAAACCAAATCATAACAAACTAGTCATGTGACCAAAGTGGTCACATGCTCAAAACCCATGACCTCATAGCAAGGTCATGTGCACAAACTCATAAACCAATCATAACGTAATAAATAAGTCATATGACTCGACTGAGTCATATGCTTAAAACCCATGACCTCATAACAAGGTCATGTGTGAAACATAAATCATATATGCAAGGCTTACCCGCAAGGCACACTTGCAAGACATACTCGCCAGGTGCACGTCCTATGACTCATATTTGAGCCATGTGCGAAAGCATTACAAATCCCACATATAATAAATCATATGACTCAAATGAGTCATATGTGTAAAACAATAACTTACCTGTGACTCATAACCATGTGTTATATGAAAACCTTTTTCATGCCAAGCCACGTTCGTAACACAGTAGTGATTAACTGCTAATGAAGTAGTTGGTTTACTTTAAGAGATGTTTATCACTAAGACTTGCTGGTATCTATAGACTTTTCCTCCTTAATAGCTTTGAATAGTACTGTACAAAGCAGTTTATCGAGTACTGTGATGAGAACAGGATTATTCCCTTCTGCTTTCTCTCACATACTAGTCACCTCCTTCAACCACTAGATGTCGTAGTGTTTCAATCCTACAAATATTACCACGCTGAGGCAGTTGAAGCTGCAATATGTACTAGATGTGGCAAGTTTGATAAAATTGAGTTTTTAGATATGATTCACTCTATCCGCAAGCAAACATTCAAGCAATTGACTATGCAATCTGTCATTCATGCCACTGGGCTTATCCCATAAAATCCAGACATAGTAATCTCAAAACTACGAGAGTCTGTCGTTTCTCTACTATTATCTACAATACAACCACCACCTTCCTTACTACAAACAATTCCTCTCACTATTACATGTAACGTGTTTGCAAGGTGCTAGCCACATTATCGGTAAATAGTATGATAGTTGGCAGGTGACTTACTCTACCAGAGAGGAGGAGAGAGCTGAAAACTAAAGGAGATTTCGAAGGTGTACTGAGGAACAAAGAAGTAACCATTCAACCAAGTATATTGAAATACTGTCTGTCAAAGTCTGCCTTTTCCATTGTGGAATCAGGTGGTCTTTAAATACACAAATCTGTTCATATCTAGCATGAACGAAACTAATCAAAGGTATCAATTGATACACTTTGGTAAAACTAATTAAGTATCAAGCGATACTTAAAACAAAACATAAAACAAAACCAAGTATGAAATAATACTTAAAACAAATCAAGTATCAAAGCGATACTTAAAACAAAATATAAAATAAAACCAAGTATCAAACGATACTTAAAACAAACCAAGTATCAATGTGATACTTAAAACAAAACATAAAACAAAACCAATAACCGAGTACCCATACCAGTTACATTGCAAGTTTGAAGAGAAAGGAGGAGTAATTGCAGTGAGAGGCCACTAATCTATCTGCTTTCTTTCAGAATTGTCTTAAACCTGTCATACAAGGTGGATTAGCACAGACACAGTTAGGAGCCCTTGCAATGGAGCACTTAGAGCATATTCAGGTAGCTGAACATGTCAGAGAGGCAAGGTCTAGGGCATGGAACAGAAGACAGATTCAAAAAGATAGAGTAATTTATGTTGGAGATGCATACCAGATGGTTAAAAGAAAAGAGGATATGGAAGTTGAGAAAGCTGAAAAGTAGTTACAAAAAGCTAAAAATGCAAGAGAATGAGTAGAGTAAGTAGAGCGAAAGCCATTACTAGATGCAATGAAGGCATATGTTAAAGAGTGCCAGGCTATTCAAGCCTACAAAAAGAAAGTAGCTAAGCTAATAATTACAAGTATTAAACAATGATCAGGGTTGAGAAAATAGATGTATGATAAATAATTTAAATTAAAAGTTTCTAACATTATATTGAGTAGTCAAGTAAGGTTTTGAAAAAAGAAAAGAAAAAAAAAAAATCTTAAGCCACAAAGTGACATTGAGCTGACTAGTTAGTAAGCGATCGCCAAGGTAAGTCGTGAGACGCGGTGCTAGCTAAACCTCCGACGGAGCTTGTGGAGTTGGTTGTCTTACCTCATAAACGTGCTTGTAATCCTGTAAGGTCCCGCAAACCGAGTTAGTAGTTAAGGCTGATTTAGCCACTATGCGGGTACGGCACGGGTACGAAATTTAAGATTTAATGTCGGCGAAACTTAATCCCGACAAGCAATGCCAAGTATGGGGGATGTACAGTACAGTACAGTACAGTACAGTAAGCTTGAGCTGGGCCGCCGGAAATTTTTGAGATCCGGCGCAGCGGGCGGGATGTAAAGGTAAATTTAATCTGAAATGCAAGTAGGGAATCAGCCTACCATAAGGACCCAACCTGACGTTCCAAACCTTCCCGGTGCTGAGATAATCTAGTGGGTGAGTGAGTGGTGCGCTGGGATAGTGCCCGGGCAACTATCCTTGGAACAACTCACTATCCAGGTATCGCCACTGGCCATTGCTTACGTCCGCGCCATTCCTGCATGGATAGCTACCAGCTGCTATGATATAGTATCTGTCTGGAGCACTTCGCGTTTCACAATTCATCACGGTTACTCTAGTTGCCAGAGGTAAGCACCCTACGAGTACTTTCGTCTCGCTATTTCACTCGATCCCTCCATCCGAGGAGCTTGGCTTAGTGTGGTTTATGCTGTCCAGAATTCCCAGTCTTTCTTTTTCCTTAGGACTTGTAAATCAGTACCCAGTACCGTTTATAGTGGGGATTTGTTAAAGGGTTTCACAATAAGCTATAGAAAGTATTATTTCGACGGGTTTGGGTGGGTTAGAAATGCCAGTATGTGTTGGTTGAGGGTTTGGGAAAGAGCAAGTAATGACTTTTAACTATAACATACGATATTAGGCTATAGTAGTGCATTATAAATCTGAAAAGGTGAAATACGATGCCTTGTGCTCATGACGCGCGCCTCGGTCCGGCAACGGGATGAACGGGAATAATCTCGTTATAGAAGCCTTCGGAGATTCTGCGTCCAATTCTCTGTATAGTGCCTATTCCTAGAATATTGATTTTCATACTCGCTCGGGAAGAACTCTGAGCTTGGGTTTCCTTGCTTATGATGATGTTCCATTTCTCTGGGTACCCTCGACACTGTGAGGGGCTGGGGGAAGATCTGACCTTGATACTGGATTCCCTCAATACTGGTACTACGGATATGGTAGAACCGGTGATAGCTGCCGTATGGTAAAAACCAAAGTTATTGAGAATCTCTCTTGGACGTTGGAGTTACCTATCCTAACAAGGTCTGTTGTATGTTTTCTTTTTATCCGTTTCAGCCGAGGGCTGAAAGGGAATCTTTTCGCTGTGTTCTTCCCCCCCCCTCTAATCCAGAGGAGGAAATTATTGACGTCCTAGCGCCACTCGATGATTTCCATTTTTATGGCACAAACTTGAATAATGGGATGGAGTGACATGTAGTCCAAAATTCCCTTCTTTGGAAAGGGGCAGGATTTTTTTCTTCTTCTTTGGCGGGGAGTTAGAAATTTTCAGGGACAGGTATACGTCGTGGTTCTCGCCGGATGGAGAGTATCTAGCGTTCTTGAGGTTTGATGAGACCGGGAGTATGCCTTCCCCATGGATTTTCTATTAAAGTGGTTCATCGGCTTGGCTATACTAAACTAGGCTAATGCAGGTACCAACATATACTGTGCCGCGCTACATGGCTGGGAAAAAGGTTGCCACACCTTACCCTGAAGAGCGCCGTATTAAGTTTCCTAAAGTGGGGGAGAAAAACCCCACCCTTACCTTTCATCTGCTCGAGGTCAAAAACCCGTCTGCCTCGAGGAAGATTGACTTCTAGACTTATACTCCGGATAATTTGGTCATTACCGATGTCGCATGGGTCGCCGAGAAGCATGAGCGTGTCATCGTCCGTACACAAGACAGGACACAGGATACTGAGAAGTTGGTATTAGTTGATGTTGAGAGTGGAAATTCTAGAGTTGTGAGGGAGAGGAACGCCACAGATGGGTGGTTGGATAACAACCTTGCAATTACTTGTGAGTTTCCTTTCGGGGATGTTTAATGCCTGCGGAGAAGTTTCTAATTATCTTGGTGAGACGTCCCTAGGCTTTCTACTCCTTCGTATCTGGGTATCTCGGATTATTCCGGTTGGGCTCATATTTACCTCTTCCCAGTGGCTGGTGGCGAACCAATTGCCTTGACCTCTGGAAACTAGGAAGTCACGACGATCTACTCAATCGACACAAAGCGTGGTCTGGTTTATTACCAATCCACCGAGCGTGATTCTACAGAACGCCACATCTTTTCTGTGAGTCTCGACGGCAAGACCAAAAAGTCGCTCGTAGACATCACCAAGGAACGGTATTACGATGCTAGCTTCTCCCCCGGAGGGGGGTACTACATCCTTAGTTATAGTGGGCCGGGCCTGCCATGGGAAGAACTTCGCAGCATAAGCCCCGATACACCCGTCCGGGTGATAAACGACAACGCCTCCCTCAAAAACAAACTCTCCGAGTACGCTCTTCCTAAAATCTCCTGGTCGACACTCAAGCACCCAGATGGATATGAGCTCAACTTTATGGAGTACCTACCACCAAATTTCCATAAGGGGAAGAAGTACCCGGTTATATTTCGTATATATGGTGGTCCGGGCTCGCAACGCACGCAGAAGGTCTTCCGCCAGACTATCGACTTTATCACGTACTTGGGATTGGATCCTGAGTTGGAGTATATAGTGATAACAGTGGATAATCGTGGGACGGGGTTTAAAGGTCGGAAGTTCCGTTCCCTAGTTACTGGTCAGCTGGGGAAATTGGAGGCGGAAGATCAGGTCTGGGCTGCTAGGGAGTATGCAAAGCGAGACTATGTTGATGCGAAGAAGATTGCAATTTGGGGGCGGAGTTACGGCGCGTATCTCACTGGCAAAGTTCTCGAATTAGATTCCGGTGTATTCTCTTTGGGCCTTGTATCTCCCTCCCTCACTCCCCCCTATGCTCGCTTTTGACCTAGCTACTAAAACAGAAAAGATGACCAGCCCAGGGGCCGACTGGCCCCTGTACGATACCATGTTCACTGAACGTCACGTGAAACTCCTAGCCACAAACCGGGCGGGCTACAACGCCTCCGCGATAATCAAAACTGCAGGATTCAAGAATGTTGCTGGTGGCTTCCTCATCCAACACGGAACAGGAGACGACAATGCTCATTTCCAGCACGCGGTTGTGCTTGTCGACGCGCTTATGTATGGGGGCGTGGGTCCTGAGGAGATGCGCGTGCAGTAGTTCACTGACTCGGATCATCAAATTGAATTCCACGGGGCTTCCGTCTTTTTACATAAGCAGTTGGCCATGGAACTGTACGATGAGAAGGGGAGGGTGCCCAGGGGGGAGCATCAATGGAGTCGCAGGGGAACTGAGAAGAGAGAATAGAGGGTTGGTAATCGGAGAGTCAGAGTATTAATTGTTATTATTGAGAATATTTGTATCTATTGTACTAACTGTTGTGATAACGAAGTAACAATGATAACCACGATAAAATCTGAAGACTTAAAGATTAATCCAAGCTTGTGCGCTATTTCTAAGAACAGGGCTGAACCTGCCCTTTATATATGATACCCCTTTATCATTACACAAGCTCTGCCTCATACCAAGGAAATCACTAGAAGATGCTAGAATACAATAGCATATATACTCAGTCATGTGGCTGTGTCATATGACCAACACAGCCTCATCACCTGATAGGAAAAGAATAATGTAATGTCCAATACTTCTCCTACATTTTCATTCCTAACCTAATCAGAAAACTGTCAAATAACACCTTAACCAATCCCTTTGTACATATATCCGCCAAGTTGTTTTCTGTATCAACTCTTTTTACCTTAATTTCTCTGTTTTCCCTCAACTCCCTCGTATAATGATGTTGTACATTGATACATTTTGTTTGATGGGATACACCAGTGTTTTTGGTTAACTTTATAGTGGCTGTATTGTCACAATGGATAATCGGTATAGTGTTGCTTCCCATATGTAATATCCCTCTTTTTAACAATTCACTTTGTCTTGATGCAAAGGTGAGTGCAACATACTCTTACACGTTACTAGTGAGGGAACCCCACCTTCTGGACCCTT